GGCAGGATTGGGAGGTGTGTCACCAGCCCCTGTGGGGCTGTCCCATGTGGGAAGACTTCTGGCGTGTAGAACAGGTCTATGACAGTTTATCATGTGTGAGGTCAAGAACCTCTGCTCAGCCCAAGGATGATGAAGTCGATCTGGTAGCCTTTCAGCTGATGCAAAGGCCAGTGGTGGAGAAAACCTCTGGGTGGCTGCCCTGATGACTTGGACACACAGAAAGCAAGACCAAGACTAATCCCAATGGAGACCAGGCCTCTCTCCGGAAGAGGTGTGGAATGCCTTTAGAGGTCAGGAGAGGGCATCAGATGCCCTGGAACTGGAGTTATGGATGGCTGTTCGCTGCCGTGTGGGTGCTGGGAACTGAGCAGTGCAGCCAGTGCTCTAACCACTGAGCCAGCTCTCCAGCCCCACCAGGCCCGTTTTCAAAGACTGGTCTGTCTTCTCACAACTCCTTTACTCTCTTTCTGCCTCATCGTGCTGCTTTAGAATTCAGTTTCCAGTTAAAATGACATGGAGTGGTTAAAGAGAGAGCATTCTGATATCATCTTTCCAAGTTCTTTTAGGTGTTATTTTCTGTGTTCAGCATTTTCTCACTTAAGGCTACTTACTTCAGAATTAGATGTGGTAAATTATAATGTGGCTTTTCTAATCCAGACAGCCAGACTGATAGCTCTCTTTAAAAGATGAATTTATGCTTGATTACAAATTACAAATTTTAAATAAGTGTTGAAGAGAATGATTTAAGGGGGGTAGATATTAAAAATTCAACCCACAAGGGAGTTGAGACTCTCCTCATTTTTTATATAATCATTAGAGGTTGGCTGACATCTATATAATACATGAAAGGTCAATATTTACTCCTGAAGTTTTTTGAATTGTGGGATGCATAGACAAGATCAGATTAACCAGGCAAAAAAGTTAAATTTAATTAAAAAATTTGTTATGGTTGTAAGGTATTAGAGAGTCACATTGGTGAGACCGAACCAACCTGCAATAGGCTCGACTGTCTTTACAGTCCCACTAAAGAAGGCTGAGATACAGTGAAACTCAGGCAAGGATTGGCTTAAAAAACAATATATATATATGGTCAAGGTTTATTTAAGAGCATTTAGTTTTTGCAAAAAATTGCACAGTACCTAAATGTACCATACCGAAGTAATTGACGTCCTGGCTGATCAGTCACCACACCTGGAGCTCACTCTCCTGCCACAGTCCATCAAAACTACCGTATCAGCATCATTATTGATTTTTTAAACTTGCCTTTTTAATGGCTTCCTACTTTCAATAGTTAGGCACCTAGGTCTCATTTTTAAATGAAAAGTTCTCCCTCAAGGAATAATCAATAGCCCAATCCCTGTCAATACTGAGTAAATAAGACAGTATACTCTATTAGACCAAATTTCCTAATACTTAATATATTTCATTACATGAATAATATCTAATTAGCCTCCTTTACTAAGGATATAAATCTAATTGCTTTGAAAGATTACAAGGTTCATTAAAAACTTTTATTTACAGCTAGCCCAGACCAAATTGGGTTGAATGTTCCCGCAACTATCTTGGACATATTGACACTGATTTCTTCTTTATTTTTGATTTCTTTATTTTTATTTTATGTGTATGATGTTATGCCTGCATGTATGTAAGTGCACCTGTGTCATGCAGTGCCTGCTAAGCAGAGGACAGAAGAGGTGTTGGATCCCCTGGAACTGGAGTTTCAGACGGTTGTCAGCCACTTTGTGGGTGCTGGGGTTTGAACCTGGGTCCTCTGCAAGAGCAGCCAGTGATCTTAACCCCTGAGCCATCTCTCCAGCCACCTCATTTCTTATTTCATTAAGCCTCATAAATTATAATTGTTTTTTCTAAGAAAGATAACATTAAACACCTTTCAACAACTTTTAGCAATATCAATGGCCTTCAGCCTTTCCTCAAATTTCTGATGTGGCTTTCTTTCACATTTGAAAGGAGAAACTTATTTAAATTCACCCCCGCAGCAGCTACAACTAGAAGCTGAAGTTAGAACAAAGGCAACTTTCTTGTACATACCCAGATTTAGCAGTTTGTTTTAAACACTCCCCTAACCCTTACAGAATTTTAGAATGGATATTTCTACAACTAACCAAAAAATATTTTACCCCAAATCAACAAAGAATTCATTACTCTTATTCAATACTGCTAAACCAGAACCATCCAACTTACTGAACAAAATTACAGTATTATTTATTTTTCCATATCTCAAGACAATTTCAATTTTTTCACACACCTCAGAAAAACGGCAAGTCTTTTTCTGGCTTTTTGGGATGAGCTTCCTTTGACTTCTCTCCATATGGAACTCCATTACTTTCTACATAAGTCTTTTCTTCCATAAGTGCACATCCTACTCCTAATACATTAACAGGTTTTTTCAGATGGAGCCAATAACTAAGGGAGAGGAACCATTATGTGATGTGGTGATGCTGGAACACAGCACTCTCCTGTAACCCCTGCAGCAAATGCGGACAATTCCCTAATTAACTCTTCGATTTACCATCAAATCTCTTATAAGGCTCCAGCCATCCCACTCCTGTTTTAAGCCATCTTGGTTCATTCTCAGACTCTTTTTTGTTATCAGTATAGCTCAGTTAAGAGCACTGGCTGCTCTTGCACAAGACCCAGGTTTCATTCCCAGCACCCACACGGTGGCTAACTACTGTCCATAACTCCAGTCTCAGGAGATCTGATGCCCTCTTCTGATCTCTATGGGCATTGCATGATATAGGTACACTTACATACATGCAGGCAATACATTCATATGCGTAAAAAAATTAAAAAACCAAGATATTTAAAAAAATAATACATTTTAAAAAAGTTGAATGAACCCAGAGACACTTTGAAAGATAGCATTAACTGGTAGACACAAAAATTCACACATACAGAAACACAGACACACAGAAATACAAAGACATAGATACACAGACACACAAATTCCTACACATATACAGAAACATACACATGGACACATACAATGTTTCAGTGATGAAAAAAATGTAAGTTAAAATTGTGAAGTTTTAGCCACTAAGTTGCTATCCACTAAGAAAATATTTACTGAAACAATACCATTTTTTAAGGAAACTAGGATTGAGTAATGCAGCTCAGTGGAAGTGTTTGTCTAGTTTGTTCAAGGCCCTGGGTTCCATGCCCAGTACTGAAAAAAGTCTGAATAAATTATGTTGGTACCAAAAATAGTGAAATTCATGAGATGATTGTGTCGGGATGGAGAGGCCTTGACCACAACATGACCACCTGAAATGACATCACTGATGATATCAGTCAAAGTTTGGAATGGACATGAACATTCTCAACTCCTGGTTACTCCTGTGACTTCACAATGTGGATATGATGAGCTTAGCTGCACTTTGGACTTTTGTTGTTTTGTGTCTACCTTAAGATTATGCTTCCTTCCTCTGTCCCTATCCTTCTTTCTTCTTGAACGTCAGCCAAATCCTGTAGCAGGCAGAAGCCATATTTTATTAAAGTTTACCTTTCCATAATTTGTTCCGTAAAATACACTTACGCGAAGGGAGCTTGCTCCTATCTGAAGATGTATGTTAGGATCATTTAAAGCACAGTTTTGAAAAGGTGTTAAGTGAACACAAAAGTCATAAAATATGGCATGCTTTTGATTGTTCCTAACAGTTCCTCAACCTGTGGCCATCCGTAGGCCAAATTACAACCTCCCTTCTGGTCAGAGATTTCTGGTATCCTCCTCTACCCCATGGCCACATGGTTCCCATGGGAACCACTTTTTACTCCACTAGCCCCTCCGATCCCAGGGACCGGGACTGAAGTGTTCTCAGCACCAAGGGCCCACTTTTTTTTTTATGGAGACCCATGTACAGCATGAAATGGGGTAAGGAAAGACAGTCTTAGCGTTGTCTCCTCTGACTCTACTAGCCTAGGACAGCGCACACCACCACTGGTTCCTGGTATTATCGCACTGCTTTCAAGGAGATAAGCATGTTTTAGTCCTTGCTCATATGAAACACCCACATTCATGCGCTATTCTGAGTCAAGGGCTTCATAAGCTCTGGGCTTTCATCACCAGAACAAGGCTTGATGAACTAGGGTTGCCGGTCTGCTCAACAGCCCCATTACCAGATTGAGAGGTGCGACATCTGTCATGTCGTTAAACGAGACCTGGGGTTTCTAAGGCTGGAGGGGTTTATCTTCTCCAACCCTTCTCTGAAGCACCTAGAGGTCAGCACTGCCACCTCAGTGCCCAGCCTTCTCTGAGGATTGAGCTGGCTCTGAAGAGAGCCTTTGTGTTTTTCTCAAGACGGGCTTGGTAATTACTAGGCCTTGTGGTGGCTCTCGGTCTTCTTGGGCAGCAGCACGGCCTGGATGTTGGGCAGGACGCCGCCCTGCGCGATGGTGACGCGGCCCAGCAGCTTGTTGAGCTCCTCGTCATTGCGGATAGCCAGCTGCAGGTGGCGCGGGATGATGCGCGTCTTCTTGTTGTCGCGGGCCGCGTTGCCCGCCAGCTCCAGGATCTCGGCCGTCAGGGACTCCAGCACGGCCGCCAGGGAGACCGGGGCGCCGGCGCCCACCCGCTCAGAGTAGTTGCCCTTGCGCAGCAGCCGGGGCCCGCGGCCCACGGGGAACTGCAGGCCGGCCCGGGACGAGCGGGTCTTGGCCTTGGCGCGCGCCTTGCCGCCCTGCTTGGCTCTTCCAGACATGACTGTCCCCGGTGTTTGACGCTGAAAGCGCCACTACAGGTCTATTTATAGTCTGATGTAGGGGCATGATTGCCAACTGATTGGCTGATTGGTGATTGACTAGCCAATCAGAAAGTACTACTTGAACTCCTTCATTTCCATATCCACTATCCAATCAGACAGCAGGTGCCCATCTGGCATTCGACTGCCTTGCCTATAAATATCACTTCGTGGCCGTTGAAAAACTGTTTTTTGGAGTTGGAGTTATTCAGTTTTGCGTAGATCAGTTGATCTTCGTCAGCCATGCCAGAGGTGTTGGCCAAGGGTCCATCTGTCTCCAGAAAAACGTTCAAGAAGGCAGTCACGAAGACCGAGAAGAAGGAGGGGCGTAAGAGAAAGCGCAGCCGCAAGGAGAGCTATTCCATCTACATCTACAAGGTGTTGAAGCAGGTGCACCCCGACACGGGCATCTCGTCCAAGGCCATGGGCATCATGAACTCGTTCGTCAACGACATCTTCGAGCGCATCGCGGGCGAGGCGTCGCGCCTGGCACACTACAACAAGCTCTCTACCATCACTTCCTGGGAGATCCAGACGGCCGGGCGCCTGCTGCTGCCCGGGGAGCTGGCCAAGCACGCCGTGTCCGAGGGCACCAAGGCCGTCACCAAGTACACCAGCTCCAAGTGAGCGCGCGCAGCGCCCTGAACCCAAAGGCTCTTTTCAGAGCCGCCCACTGATTGCTGAAGAGCTGTGTGCTTAGTTTTCCGGCTCCATGACCTTCAGATCCCTAAGGGCTTGCCTCCTAAGGCTCGGCTTCCAGAGAAACAGCTGCAAAGGTGACTGATGTTTTAGGGAGGTCACTTTGTTTGCCCCCCAGGCAGTCCGAGCTCCACGGTCCCCTTTTGGTCTAAGGTTTACTGAGGGTGTTAGACACTAGGTTTTGCTGGAGGCCTGCTGACTATGGGATGGAGGCCGCCATCTAATCTGCTTCCTATTGGAGTATCCGTTAGCCACGGCCAACGGACAAACGGCCACAATCTCAGCTTAATGCCAGCAGGTTCTGTGTGACCCCTTGATGGGGTCACGGGTACGATTCTTCTATCTTAACGTGTTGCTTGAGTTCTGCAAGACCAGGTGAGCGTTTATGTAGACAAGATATTTGAGATAAAATTTTCTTAAATGGGGTTGTGCCCTGGGAACGTGTTAGAACCCTGCGGTGGCACAGGCCTCCGGAAATTGCTGTAGGAACCTCCCACAAGGGTTGACAGTGCACACAAGACCCCTGCTGACTCAGAAATCCGGCGGAGAACCGGACAAATGGGTAGGAAACTCCAACCTTAGCCAAAGAACGATTGGCAGTGGATTACTGCTGGGTAAGGGAGAGTTGACAGACTCCAGATCATACAAGCTTGACTGGATAGGCTTAATTTATACAGTACAATGCTTGGAATTGGGTGGGGTAGTTATGGGGGGCTGTGTGTGAGTGGGGTGGTATAAAGATTAATGTTTTATATGAAACAAATTCAATAAAATTATGTATTAAAAGAAACAGCATCACTATACACACCGGTTGTGGTAGTTGGAGGCTGTGGTAGGATTGGTATGTTTGAGCTAGCCTGGACTACATAGTGAATTCCAGGTGGGAACTAAGGAATTACCCTTCAAAATCAGACTGCACAGCAGGGCTGTCCCTGCAGAGCCTCTGCCTCATCTAGACATGGGCCACCTCTGCCTGTCACTGGAGTGACGCCACCTCCACTTAGGAGTTCCAGCCATCCCGTGAGACCCCGGGAAACAGCGGATACCTCAGCTCTCAGACCCTTACCAATGAGATGGCCACTCCTAATGGGCACTCCAGTTATTCAAGGATTGTTTAGGCAAAAAGCAACCAGGATACGTGTTTCTCTAGGTCAAACTTGACAGGTTTACATCCGAGAGCTGACTGCAATCACAGAAAATGTTAACGGAGCAGGCTGAGGTCATGCTGAGGTCTGAACAGGACCCCTAAGGATGGAGAGGTTCAAGCGGCTACACGGCTCTGCAATCACCTGCCTCTGCCTTGGCTAGAATCCACTTTACCCAGGTCCTCAGCTCATGCCCTAATGGGACAGAGGTAGGAAGAGACTTCCAAAAGAACCTTTCTGCCCCTCCATTTTCTAGAACTCAAGCTAGTTCAGGTGCCACCCATCATTCATCCCCAGTGGGGACCATGGGATGGGCGAGGACCAAGGAACCTTACCTTATGCGAAATTTTCATTTTTAAAGTGAGCTGGGTGTAGTGATACATGCTTCGTAGTTCCAGGGCTCAGGATGCAGAGGCAAAGGATCAAGAGTTCAAAGCCAGCCTTGGCTACCTGGTGAGTTCCAGGCCAGTCTGGGGTATAGGCAACGTTGTCTTAAAAAAAAAATGTGGTTCTAGGTATTTTGTTTTGTTATTTTGAATGAGACACTTTCCTGTGGACAGTGGCCATCATTTTGTTTTCTGTGAAAGAGTTCTTTCCTGTGTCTGCTGTCACTGCCGCACTGAATCGACTTGTTTTTCTGTTAGTATTTGGTAGATTTTGTTAGGTTTTATGTGTTTATAATATCTGAAAATAGGCATTGTTTTACTGCCGTCTTAAATTGCGCTTTTGAGTTTTTTTTCTCCTGATCTCAGTTGCCTAAATAGTCACAGAAATGACAGAGGCGGGAAGAGCCTGTTTGTTCCAACCATTCAGGACCTTTCTGAAGTCATCGTGCTGAGGAAGAGGTGCCGGGATTTGCATTTCGGGGAGTCTCACATAAGAACAGATGCTCTTTGGTTATGTGGCATTTGAGCATCTCTGGATGTGTTCAGTCGTTGATAGTTAGATATCTCACAGCAAGTTATTGTAATAGACTTCCTAATGTTGAGGTATCCCCAAATTTCTGTCACAAACTCCTGCTTGGGTACAGCATAGTCTACATTTAATGTCCTGCTGAATTCTGCTTGACAATGTATTGTTTCTAATTAACCTTTTGGTGTCATTGAACTGAGATGGTGTCTTTTTCTTCTTCTTCTTTACATTGTAATATATTTTACATTTGAAATAATTTTTTTTATTCAAATCACAAAAATGTTTATGCTCTGGAGTTGTCTGTATAAATAGTATTGGAATTAACTTTTCTTTAAAATTGTTTTTGAAAGAATTGTATTTGGGGGCTGCAGAGATGGCTCAGCAGTTAAGAGCACTGGCTACTCTTGCAGAGGACCTGGATTCAGTTTCCAGTGGTGGCTCACAACTCTCTGTAACTCCAGTTCTAGGCATCTGACGTCCTCTTCTGGGCTCTGCGGGCACCGCACACATGTGGTGCACTTACCTACATGCAGGGAAAACATTCATATGCATAAAAACACCACAATGCCCCGCCAAATTTTAAGGAATTTGTATTTGATGTTCATTTAAAATCAAATTATTTAATTTTCACTATTTTATGAAATTTTCTGTTTATATTTGCCAGAAATTTGGAAAAAGGTTTTGTAAATTATACTTTTCACATAATTAAGGAGAGACCCCAGAGAGCAGTAAGTTTGTCTCTGACATTCATTGCTGCAGCTGCAGCTGTGTTTGTGACCGTAGCGTCCTGGTTTCATTTGTCAGAGCATCCCTAGTCTTCACAGCCCTCCTTATTCAAACCCTTTTCTTCTTAAAACGTGTGTGACCCTGCATGTATTTTACTCCGCTTTTTCATAATTATTTTCTACTTTTCTCATTAAGTGATTTTTCACCTCCTCCTCCTCC